AACTGTGGGAGGGAGAAGCCGGCATAGCAACGCCGAGTGGGTTGGCAGTGACAAGGCAGACCCCGGTGCCGGCATGTCCCTGTTCCTCCTACTAGAGATCGACGTCAGCACCTAAGAGCATTTGTTCCCACTAACGTGAGGACCAGGGGGTTGCCGTCACAGTTGGCAGGTGAAGTGGCCCCCATAGGTTCATGCACTTGAACTCCGGGTCACCAGTTGGTGGCTGCTTTGGTTGTGGGACTTTAAGGCGGTAGAGCCTTGACTCGGGAAAGGGAAAAGGGAGCCCCGCCACACGAGCCCCTGTCATGAAGCTGCCTGTTGCCACGCCTTCCCCGCCACAGGCTGTGTCCCTTCCAAGCATGTACCAAAACAAGCGCCCTCGCCTCTTGGCTGCTTTGTCAGGTGTCTGGTCACAAAGACGATGAAAGATGCTAATTCAAGGCAGAGGAAAAGTCCAAATGTGTAGCATCCAGTGGATTATTATATATGTCACCACATCTTGCTGTGAACAAGGAGATGCAGCTGTGTTTCAAACTATGGAACTTATGTGGGTGGACAATATGAACAAAACTTGGGCTTGTGCTAAGTGAAATAAAGCCAGTCACACAGGAAAGGAGACAGTGCGCCATTCGATGTAGATGATGTTGTCAGAGTACATAAAACCAGAGGAAGGGACGATTACATAAAGCCAGAGGAAGGGACGATAAGGAAGGGAGGTGTTTGGGGGCATCAAGCAGTTCTCACCCTGTGGGTCATGGCTCCTTTGGGGCTGAGCAACCCTTTCTAAGACAATCAGAAAACAGATATTTACAGCATGATTGACACAATAGCAAAATTACAGTTTCTGAAGTAGTAACGAACATAATTTTATGGTTGGGGTCACCGCAACGTGAGGAACTGTATTAAAGGGTTGCAGCACTGGGAGGGTTGAGAACCACTGACCTAGTGTTTCCGACTCACAAGAGGAAAGTTCTCTGAAGAGCTGTTTCACCCAACATTCCTGAATTGTACGCCTCCAATGGCTAAGCTTTGTTTTGTGGCTTTGGTAACCACAACAAAGGAAAAACAGAAAGGAAAGAAAACAAAATGATTATGTTATGATTGCCACCACCAGGATGTTGTCATGGATATGTCATCACATAACCATCGCGAAGTTTGAAAAGATGGGGCCTGTCTATACCCATTTTACTGTGGGAAAATCATTGTTAAAACCAATGCCACCTTAATCCACTCTCCTACGGGACAACACACTCAACCCGCCACTTCCCTGCTTCATATTGAGCACAACGACCGTGGCCTTTGTGCATAATATTGATTTTATACAGTCCAGTTACAAAGAGCTGCTCTGAATTCAAAATAATTTACAAACAATGACATCCCCAGCTGGCAGCAAAGTTCTTAAAACTGCTTTATAGGTGCCTCCCAGAGCAAGATACAACAGCTGAGCCATTTAACGATAGCCAAGATACCACAATCTGGTGTTTGCAGACATTTGCTTCCGTGTGCAGAAATGGACCCACCTAAGACACGCATCTATCAATTTGGTGTCACTGACTCCAACTGAACCATGCATTTTCCAGGACAGTGATATCCGGTGCCCTGGGGTGTGAGGAAAAGGCCTTGTAGTACATCAGGGAATGCTTATCTGGACACGGTCACTGCCGTGCTGCCACCCAATGCTGCATTCTGCAACCCTCCTGGGAATTGCTCAGCTGTTACAGTAGATCCAAGAATTTCCCACTTTGGACAAGTGGCTATTTCCCACACAATCATTATGAAACGTACCCACTGTCCATTTACTGACCCAGAAGTACTTCCGTGGGCCTGATAGATAGATTTGTAATGTATACATATGATTACTGTCTGAAATACCTGGCATTTCACTTTATCTCACAGAGAAAACAAAGTCGCTCTACCTAGCTCCTCCACTGGATTCCAGCCCTTACAGTCACTGCCATGTGACCTTAGGACTTTTCAGTTAGCAGCTCCGTGACTTTAGGCCCATTTTGCATTTGATCCTCAGAGTCAAAATGGGGCAGGTGTTCCTAGGATCGTTATACAAATTAAACAAAAGAATATACTGCAGAATCTGGCATAGAATACATGCTACTCAGAAATGGCTTTCAGTCTTTCTTCCCCTCTCAAGAGCAGAGGCCAGGAACTTTGTGCCACCAAAGGCCATACAGGAAATACTTTTTTAGGCTATATATTTTCTGTCCCAACTCCTCAAGTCTACCATCGCAGAGCAAAAGCATCCACAGACTATATATATATATATGTATGTATGTATATATCATGACTTTATAAACAGGCTAGGAGTAACTGTGTGGTAAAACACTAGCCCAACATGGACGAGATCCTGGGTTTGATTGCTCAGCACTTCAAAGGAGAAACGGAGCAAAAGAGCAAACCAGCAAACCAAACATCAGTAGGAATAAACAGGCTTGAGCTAGAATTGCCCTTCAGGCCAGAGCTTGTACAGTCATGTTAGTTACTCGACATAGGTCCAGACATTATACTAGGTTAATTTTAACTATGGTAAAGCCCATCTGTTCCAGGCACTCCCTTCCCTAATGTCTCCTTATTGTTTTTATTCTATTCCAAGCATTTATCAAGAAAAAAACTGCTTCAGGGTCTTGATTTACCTTTTTGCTTTTAATCTTACGTTGAAAGCTCGCAGAGCTTTGTGGGGCTCAGAGGAGACAAGGAGGAAGGCTGGAGAGTGGCAAGGGGAACTAGCCCCAGAAGCTTTGGTGGCTGAGCAAGGCCTAGAATTGGTTTGCTAATCACACTCCCTTCTTTGACACGCCCACTCCCTACTCTGTATCACAGCAGCCCCTAAAATTGTTGCCATACTGGTCACCACCAAGGGTGCCACGGTTTCTCTTATGAGTCCACTGCTCAGGTGCGCAAACTGCTCTGCATTCAAGCCCTGAGAATTTGAGCCGGTTTCTTTCCCTCATTCTGTCCTCACTTCTGCATCTGAAGTCATTCCTGCCCCCTAGGCTACCAAGAGAACAAGACCTCCAAAGCACATAGCACAGATCCGAACACAGTGTAAGAGGTTAAGTCACTAGTTATTATGGGCTGCATTACTATGCTCTCTCCTCCTAATGACTTTGAGATGGTCGGCAGGGCCTTGCAGCATAAGGTCTACTCTAGGTGTGGAAACTTTCTGATCATAGACTCTCCAGCTAGGATAGCCCTGCGTGTCTCCATATTCAAGTTCATGAGCATTCTGACCCCTGCAGCTCAGTTTATGCTTCCTATACTTCTACAGGTCTAAACCCCACATGTCATTCAATGCTCCACACAAGGGTTAGGACTTCGTGAGAACTTCCAGTGACACCATATCTTCTCCACCCACCATGTACAGCATTTCCAGGCAAAAATATGGACAGCCTCTCTTAAAATATGGGCAGGGCATAAGAACACATTGTAGTGTGGGCTCAAGAGAAGATTGTCTGTTGTCTCTCAGCCAGTCTGCTCATCTATATTACCTCAATTAATTAACCTCATTTGTCATTTATATGTTAAGATTGAGATTAAGATTGGACACATAAATACTTGAGGTAAGAATTATTTAAAATATTGTTATTATATATTTATGCTAATTTTATTAACTTGGCTTTCCTTTCTATGGGCTATTTTGTCCATATGTGCTGTTTAACAGCACCTAGCCTTATAGTGGACCCTGAATACTATTCAACAATAAACAGACATAAAAAGAAGAGAAGTGCCCGAGTTGACCCAGGGGTTACAATGACATTCTCTGCTAAATCTGGGTGGCTTCTGCTTGTTTTCTTCCCCTACTGAGATTTCCCTGCAGGAGACAGTCTAGTCTCTCTGACTCTGCAACAGTAAAAGTGGCTAAGAACCAACAGGCAGAGATTTGCAACTTAGCTTTCCAAGCAAAAGTGTCAATCAGTCGGTGTGTCTGCCAACCCAGCCAGTTTAGCTTGGAGAACTGTCATAGGCTCACCAAACCTGTTCCCATTGATATAAAGAGGAATAACACACATGATCTACCCTCTTTGGGTAACAGCTGACGTGGGTTAAAGGTGCATCTGGAAGACTTTTACCTGTAATAAAGTGCTGAACAAATTTTGGAAGGTATGAGTCAAGGTATACTTCAATGAAAAAAAATTGATCAAATTAGCTGGGTCTGTTTCTAACAGAGTTTTAGACAAAGTGAATCCTTTGGGTGTAGATGCCTCTTAAAGAATAAAATCATAACTTACATTGTGGAGTTTAGATGTCTGTCTTCAAAGGTTCTATCACACCCAGTAATTCCTTCCAAAAGTATAGATTTACCCAAAATTATATTTTCTTTCCCAGAGCCCCTGAGTAGCACATGTGAGAAATAGCTTAGAAATAACCCAGAGGTCCCCAAAAGGAAGAGGAGCAGAGGGAAAAACAGAGGTGGACAGTAAGATGCTTGCTCTTTTCAAGAGGAGGTACTAGAGAAGTGTGAACCATCTAGGGATAAAAAAAAATTAGATTTACAAGTGCTGAAGGTACACTCGGGAGGCAGAGGCAGGCTGATCTCTGTGAGTTCAAGGCCAGCCTGATCTACAGAGTGAGTTCCAGGACAGGCTCCAAAGCTACACATAGAAACCTGTCTGGAAAAACAAACAAACAAACAAAAATACCCAAACAACAATGTGCTAAAGATAATTGTGACAATCCACCCGGAAGCTCTTGTGCGTGTAGCTGCTATTAGAAGTCCACCATTCATCAGGAACCCTGTTCAGTTCGAGCATATCAACAGAATTTGACAGCAGACAATGACTTCAGTGATAAGGCCTCTGGGATGGATAGAATGTCAAAATGTAGGGGTCGTGCATCTTTTCCATGTCTTTCTTTGATGAAGAATATGAAGTTTATTTTTTAAAAAAATTGTTAACATAATTGAGAATGGGGGAGGGAGGGGGCGAATGTTTCCCTAGCATTATTCCTCAAACTCAGGCAAGAAACCACTAAATTAAACTTAACCTTACCTCTATTCTTTCCCATATGGCTTCATAGTTGTCTTGGTGTCGAATATCTTGCATTAGCTTCTGAATTAAAGCTGATTTTGTAGCAGAATGGCTCGAGCTCTTCCCGGAGGACGAAGGCCGCTCTGGTTTCTCATCAGCGTATTTCTTCATGCCGGAGAGGGGCACACATAAGTCCTCATCAGAGAGAATGTCACTCGGGGGCCCAGACTCAATGCTCTCCCCGAGAGAGGAAGCTATGTCGCTGGATGAACTTGGGGACACCCTGCCTAGCCTTGTGTGCGTGTTCTTGCTGTGGTATGTTGGGTAGATTTCAGAATCGGAATTCATTTCGGACAGCTCCCAGTCGTCGATATTCTGGATAGGCTCTCCCCTGGGCTTCGGGGGCAAAAGCTTGGTGAGGCTCTCCAGCTTCAGCGCCAGCACCTCCGTCTGCTTCAGGTGAGACGGCAGGGCTAGGTATTCATCAGAGCCGTACCAGGCCTCCGCCACCTGGCCGTTCTGGGGGACGTGACTCGGGGCTGGGGGGCCATCCTTTTGCCTTTCCTTCTGTGAATGGCGAGGAACTGGAGATCTCGTGCTGTCTGACCCAACAGAGGACTCACTGCTGTGGCTGCACGGGGGTGAGCTGGAGGCCTCCGACCGAGCTGCCCATTGCCCGCTCCGGTTTCTCTGCTGGCGCAGCTCAGCTGAGGATGCTGACCCAGAATCCGTTTCTGCTCTCACTGTGGCTTTGGGAGTCCCAGCAGGCACCCCTGAGCCTCTAGTGGTTTTGACTTGCTTTCCTGAACCGGTTCCTCGTTTAGGTGTTCGGCACTGAGGTACCTCTGCCAAGGTCTCACGTGGCTTTTTCTGTCGAGATTTCTCCTTATGGCAGTCAGTAAGTCTTCCCAGACTGGAAGAGATTTCTTTAATGTGACTTCTGACTATGTTTTCAAGATTGCTAATCCCCACCTTGTGCAAGCATTCGTAGGACTGGCTGGCTGCGCTTGAAGGACTGCTCGGGTAGGAGGACCGTAACACTAAGCAGAGCTTGGACCTGTCAGGGGGGTCCACCAGGGACGGGGTGCTTCTGCTGAGCTCTGGCTTCAGGTCAGCCAACTGCCTCTTGCGATCACTGCCTTTCCGCTCGTTGGCACGAGTCTCTTTCAGGAAAAGCCCTCTTTTGGGCAATGTGGGCTGTGTGGGAGAGTCCTCGTTATAATTAAAGCAATCGCGGATGGATCTCTTGGGAGTCGTAATTTCACTAGGTACAGGCTGGGTTTTCTTTGGACCCAGCTGTGGGGAGGAAACGGGGTCTTGCTTTGCAGTCTCCGGGGGGTGTTCAGCAGCGTTCGGCAGTGTGTCCCCTAAGGAAGACATCTCTGATGTTGAGCCCGGCTGCTCTCCAGCTGCTGAAGCGCTGGGCACCTCCTGCCCACCTTTGTTCTCTTCTGAAAGAGCCCCTTGAGGTGACTCCTCACCGGCTGTCTCACAGCTGGAAGGGACAGGGTCAGCGGCCACTGTAAGCAGCCCAACGCTTCGGATGAGCTCCGGGAACTCCTTTTCCATCTCACTGTAGCTCCAAGAGTCGAAAGGTTTAGTTTTGGCCTGGCCAGCGGTCACGTCACCCAGGCCACCAAGCAGATCCTCACTTGGACTGTAGTCGGACAGTTCAAACGCAGTAATACCGCAGTCCAGAGACAAGTAATTCTGAGAACATTTGATGGTTAACTGCCCTGAGTCATCTACTTCTGTGAGAGAGTCAAGCCGGCCCTGAAACACACAAAAGCAATGGTTTCAACGCACTGGTTCCGCTTAGCAACTGCACAGCCACGTGAAATCGGAGCCGGTGTCAGTTGCTCTGGACTGACCCAGAGAAAGACACATTAACCAATTACCAGTGTGCTTTATGTACACACCTTCTGAGTATCCGAAATTTAACGTAGGCATAGAGCCGTAGAGATGGTGGAGACCAACTCCATACTTCCCACTGTGTCTTTTCTTTTTTAAACAGTACATTAACAGTTTCAAAAGCACTTCAGGTTTTGTTTGTCGCTTGTGGCTCTGGAGACTGGGACGCTGCGCCTTCTAGAAAGGTGACCCGCTAACCCACCGCTCTGTCCTCAACTTTTCCTTTACTTTCACTTGCTAAGTTGCTGGCACTGGCCTTGAACTCCCACTGCAATGATCGGGCTTGAACGTTCCATTCTTCTGCTTAGCCTCCTGCATGGCCTGACTTCATAAGCCTTTAAAAAACAAAAAAACTAAAACCCTTAGTTTAAGTAACAGAAAGTAGAATCTTCATAAACCTCTGGGTTTTGGCCTCTCTCTCTCTCTCTCTCTCTCTCTCTCTCTCTCTCTCTCTCTCTCTCTCTCTCTCTCTGCTATCACTTCAACACCTACCACACAGTGGCTAAGTCAAGAATTATTTTAAGTAGAATAATTAAATTTTATTTTAATCTAATAATGTTAACTATATACTCACAAATCACAGGAAAAGTGAGCTACTAAGATTTTAAAAAACCTAACAGAGACTGTTTAAGACCAGGTTCTGTCTGACCCCTCCTTTTAAAGTTATCCACAGCTTGCACTTGAGAAAATCAGTGAACGTTCAAACCCCACCGCCCCTCCCCACTCCTCCTCTGCATCATTCTCCATCCCCCTGCTCCCAACACTGATGTTAATTGCTGACTGCCCTTATTGCTTATTATCTATGATTCCAAATGGATTCAAATTCTCCCACACTAATAAGAGCACTAGGAACTTCTTGCTCTCTAACTGTGTAATTGAGGTTTTTGTCTTATTGCTGCTGTAGGAGGTTTCTAATTGATGACATAGGGTATGAACCGAATTCTGCCTACCAGGCTGAAGAACAGTCTGAAGAAGCAGGTGAAGGTGATCCCTGTTCTCTTAGCAAGGGGATTGGAGGGAAAGCAATGATGTCAGACCCCCACCTAACTGCTGGACCAGTCAGTGTCCCTTCAGCCAGGTCACCCTGAAGCCTGGCCTCCTCATGACTCACATGGGGTTTTATTATTCATTTTTGTCTCTGGAATGTTCTCTCCTTGTATTTGTCTCTCAGTCCCAACACTCTTCCTCTACAGCATCCAGATAAGCCAAATGATTGCAGTAAACAACCTTTCCTAGGCCTGGGGATGACTGGTTCCTATTATTGCATCTTCATTACCCTGATCCCTTTCCCCTGAGATCTGCACTGTTGTCCCTGTCTATATTACACCAGAAAGAAAATAACAAGCCACTATGGCTGGTAACTAAGGACCAGCCTAGGCCTTGGACTGAGCCCATCTGACCTGAAGATAAATTCTAACCTCAACTATTGCTGTTAACTGGCCTGCCTGCTAGTTTGTGTTCCATGCTGCCAGCACAGGGGACTTTATAAACTGCAAATCTGTGGTGTTAACTCTCTGCCTAAATTCTCAGGACCTTCCTCTGTTAGACTAAGAAGCCAGTCCAAAATTCCAGTGCCAGCGGTGGGCTCCTCCCCTAGTCCCTCCCCTAAGTCCAAACTGTTTGAAGGCAAGACATGAGTAGGTCTCTCCCTCCCCTTTTAACTCCCCCCAAGCCCCACCCCCATGGCATCCTACCACAGTGTCTCCTTCAGTTTCTGAACAGACCAGGTTCCCTTCTGCCTCAGAACTTTGCATTCCCATCTTGAAAGCTTTCTACAATTTTATCTCAACTATCAGACTCTTCCGTACCCCTTAGATACTAGCTAAAGCTTTTACTTCAAGATTTTAGGTCTCTCACCTCAGTCAGAACCATTCATAGAAAGCCCTCAATTCCATGCTCTCATTTAACTACTTATCTCAATGGGGAATAGTAACTAATTAGTATTGTGATCATTCATCTAACTTATTTATCCTTTTGTATGCAAGAATATTAATCGATAGAATATCAATCATAAGAAGGTTACTCAACACAAAAATGTGTTTTCTGAGCAGCGTCCCTTCATCACTTAGAGATATGTACAGAGAGAGCATTGAAAGATGTTGAGTGAATAATACGGTGAGACTTTGTAGCCACTCTATGCCTGCATATAGTTTCTTTCCCTGATTATGTACGTAGACATGAGTAAACTCATGAAGCTTCAGAGTCACATTCTTGCTCTAACACTAATTAACGCTGTGACTACAGGCCAGCAGCTTGGTGTTGCTAATTCTCACTTCCTCCGTCTATAAAATGCAAATGATGGGCAATGAGAGGACTCAGGGTGTAAATATGCCTGCCACCAAGACTAACAACTCGAGTATGATCCCCAGAAGACACATGGAAGAAAGAGGAAACCAAATCCTGAAAGGAGTCCTATGATCCCCACATACATGCTGCGGCACATATGCAAACACACACGCACACGCAGTTTAAAAGAAAAGAAGCAGGAAAAGAAATGGCCAAGCGGTAGTGGTGCACACTTTTAATCCCAGCACTTGGGAGGCAGAGGCAGATGGATATATGTGAGTTTGAGGCCAGCCTGGTCTACAGAGTGAGTTCCGGGACAGCCAGGGCTACACTGAAAAACCCTGTCTAGAAAGAAAGAAAGAAAGAAAGAAAGAAAGAAAGAAAGAAAGAAAGAAAGTCAGTCTAGAAGGCTGGTGAAACCCACAGAGACAGCTGACCTGAACAAGGGGGAGCTCATGGACCCCAGACAGATAGCTGGGAAACCAGCATAGGACTGGTCCAGACCCCCTGAATGTGGATGTCAATGACGAGGCCTCAGCAATCTATGGGGCCTCTGGTAGTGGATCAGTATTTATACCTAGCATACGAATGGACTTTGGGAGCCCATCCCACATAGGGGAAACTCTCTCTCTGTCTAGACACATAGCAGCAGGGTGTAGAGGGTCTAGGCCCTGCTCCAAAGGAAATGACAGACTTTGAAGATCCCCATGGAAGGCCTTACCCTCCCTGTGGAGCAGAAAGGGGATGGAATAGGGGGTTAGTTGGGGGCAGGGGAGGAGGGGAGGGAGAGGGAACTGGGATTGACATGTAAAACAAGCTTGATTCTAATCTAAATAAAAAAGACAAAGAAAAACAGAAAGGAAGGAAGGAAAAGAAAAGAAAGAGAAAGAACTAGTAAGCCATGCAAGGAATATTGAGAGACTTAAAGGGGATAGAAAACAAGAAACAAAAGTCTTGTGCAGGGTAAGTCCTCAGAGGAAGCTTACTCTGGTTGCCTACTCTATTATCCCTACTAGTAATGGAGTATACTGAGGAGGGAGCATAAGTTACCTCTAACACCAGAACAAGGGATGAAGATTAACCTCCAACCTCAGCAAAAATGAGCTAAGTGGAGTTGTGTGACTTCGGGCTTCCTGCCTGAAACCCAAACCACTCAGATAAATAAAACTTACAGTTTATAATTTTTAAGAGAATAATAGTGAGATACCCAATTTGAAATGAGATTTTATTATTTTTTAATTGTTTGATTTGGTTACCCATTACTTAGGAGTTTCTTGTCTATAAAAATACTATTTATATTTCTATATAAGAGTGTAATTGGATTTACGCTACACAGGGGTTATCGCTCTTCCCAGGAATTATAGTTTGCCAAATAAAAAGCCCAGTGCTAGATATGGGTTACCTACATTTAAGTTGTTGGTCAGAGGTGTCGTGGAGACCCCCCAAAACAAAAAAAAGGACATTCACATCACCCCCTCTTTGAGGTTCAGGGACAATTGCAAAAGAGAAGGGCAGAAAGGTCGAAAGAACTAGAGATTCGGGAAGGCTGGAAGAAAACAGCATCTTACAGACAAACCAGGACCACTGCATTCATGAACTCACAACAACTGTGCATCCCTACACATCATCCGCACACCTGTGCATCCCTGCACACCATCTGCACACCTGTGCATCCCTGCACACCATCTGCACAAGATCAGCCAATATTCCAGCTAAAAGTGGGAAGGGATCAGAGTCCCTCACCCCTAGCTGAGGAGCTATTGACAGTCGATGGCCTCTGGAAGGAAAATCATTTTTCTTTAAGGGTATGGCCTCCAGTAGGCTGACATGCTTGAGTGGATGTCCCCACAACTTGAGAAACACAAACTAGACTTGATGGATTTACTTTAAGAGAGGGAACAAGAAGTGGAAGGGGTAGGGGGTGTGAATCTGGTACAAGTTAGGGAGAGGAATGTGAGTTGATTATGATCAAAATATATAGTACATAAATTCTCAAAGAATTAATACAATATTATATTAAAAAGCTATTAAGAACAGTGGTTATGTTCCTAAGCCATCCCATAAGGCCTTTTAAAATATCAACTTGTTGAAATTTGTAATATTAACTTCTATTGTTTTTATCTTAGTTACTGTTCTACAAGGCTTACATGAGGTTAAAAAATACTAAAGAGAGGTGTTCTTAAAATGAATAAATTTCAGAGTTCAGATAATAACTAGATATTGAAAGTGGTATCTACTTGCCTTTGCACAAACAGGAAAGGACAGCAGTATAATTAGTTTTCAAAATCTTGAACAGCAGATGTTCAATAAATAATTGGACATAAATACATTAAAATATATGTTAGATAACCAAATGACTACACCTCAGAGAACAGAGTATGAAATCTTTGTGAAACTTCAGGGATCTCCAGCCAGCTACTGATTTTATTTTAAAAAGTCATATTCAAAAGCATTCATATTATTATTATTATTATTATTATTGAGTTTTTTTATTGTGGGAAAAATTCATCCCTCAAGAAAGCAAAAAAAAAAAAACGGAAATCATCAAGAAGAAACAGTGTCATCTTGGAATGGGAAATATAATCCAGTGGTAAGATGCTAGCTCAGAATTCTTGCTATATACTCTAGACCCTACAGAAGCAATTTTAAGGGGAGGGGAGTTCCCTGAAGTTTCTCTTAGCAGGTGACTGATGAGCTTCTTTATTAGGTACTGCTTAGGAAGAGTCACACATTTAGTCCTATTGGCTCCTTCTACATCACCTCCTGGACATTTTGCTGACATGTGGAAGCAATAAGTCTCACACAGCTAAGGGACCAAGTTATGAGTATGCAATGGTTTTCCTACTGATAGGTTCCAGAGTATCGCATATACTGTTGGTACGGAGGGCTGTGTCAGAGCTGCCTAGCAGAGTCTCTCCTCAGATACACCCTCATGTTAGGAGGCTGCTCTTGAATGAAGAACGCATTGCATGTAGGTGGTGACCTATTCACTTTATTACTGACTTCAGTCTTATTATCAGCTTCAAGTAAGTTCCCTTGCTTCTTTTCTAATTTGAACAAAGATCATGCCTTGTTCCTTATCCATAATATAAAATATAAGCTAACTGAGGCCCAAATGCTCTTACATCTTTTTTTCAGTACTATATTATAGCTTGTCAGCACCTGGAGATGTAAAAGTCACAACTTAGAAGCTCTTCCCCTGTTAAAGTGCCCCACTGATATATCAATGCCCATTACATTTGTCCCCAATTCAACACTGCCACTCCTCTCTATCCCAGACCCCACCATCTTGTATACAATGTTCTGTATGTTCTCATTGCTATCATACAAAGTCATGGTCCTCATACCATCATGCCACCCATCTGCCCCCACCCCTACCCTCAGACGGATGGTCTGAACTCTCTGATCCTTTCATCCTTACCACCGGGGACTCTGATTCTGAACGACTTCCAGAGAGCACAAGTGGACTAGGAAGAGTGGGTATGATGAGGAAACGTGAAGCAAGCTTCACTCTGATGGATGGTGAGGAAATACACAAACGTCTTTTGCCAGCATTCCGACTACATAATAATTCTTAAGAATTTTCATTTTCTGTAGGTGGAAGTTACAAATCAAATAATCACTATGATTAACTCCCAGTTCGCTCACCTAAAGTAATACCCCTTGTTCTACACCTAGAGCAGCAGTTATCTGCTTTGTTTTAGTTGTTTAATTCTGCAGATATTTACATACAGTGACACAACAGGCACACCAAGGGAGAGCCAGCCCTGATGCAGCTCCCAGGCTTCTAGTGCTTTGCCTTGATAGAAATTAGGTGTAGAAATACACAAATGCCATGTTGTGGATGTTCTAGAAGGCTCCCCATGGAGAAGAACATACCTTGTAAAGTACTTACTACATCATGCTTGCTGTAGCAATGGCATTACTAAAAACTATTAATCATGACTTACATAAAATAACCTCTTCCAACTTGAGTTCTCTCACCCATAAGATAGATACAATGACACCATGTCTAGAATGAAGGTGCCCACCCCTGGCTACCATCTAAAATCATGTGAGGATCAGCAAAATTATGAGGATGACTGCTAATGTTTACTCATAGTTCTATGTCTGGTGCCTTATATATACTAGGAAATCAAAAAAGCTGAGAGAGTATGGAGGAGAAGGGAGAAATGGAGGAGGGAGAAAGAATCACGAAGCTGGAAGTGAGTTGACAACTGATCTGGTTTAATTCAGTTTAATTATTCCTAGGCTTGTGCACTTAAGCAGTCACTTAACTTTCCTTCAGTTCCATTTTCTTATCTATGAAGTAAAACTATTTACCCCTTGCCTTCCTTCCTAAATGGAACAAATAATCAAGTTCCTGTCCCAGAATCTAGAGTACATTTTGGTGTGGTTCATTATACAATTTGAGCTTCGCTTCCAAGGGTTTTGATTGCATTTGTTTTGTTGCTTGGTTTGTTTTATCTTAGCCATATACCTGCCATTTTGTTTATTATATATGGTCTGCTCAGTATTCGAATGAAGAATAAAACTCATATTTTGTGTTGTCAAGAAGAGAGAAACAATTAGAACTCCGCCTCTTTCTCATGTTTCAAACTCACTCTTCCATGTGGCTCTGAAATTCAAATGAGCTCTGAAAACCACTCCCCTTCTCTGGATGGGCATCTGCTGTTCCAGTTCACCATGTTTCCTTTTACTGTGTGTAGTCTTACAATTTCATCCCCATTCTACAAATCTCCCACCACTGAATGCATTCTGAGAAAGTTATCTGAATTCCCTGCCATTTTCCCAGTTACACTGTGCTGGTAAAAGCAAACACATCTCTCAGTTCTCTGGAGTCACGCTAGAGTCACCAACAAACGGGATCAGAAAGGGCTCCCCGAGGGTGAGAGCAGCAGAAGCTGTTCTACAGTAGACACCCACAAAGCAAAGGCCACTGCTCCTCTACCCTTCACACAGTGTGTCTCTGTCTCTCTGAAATTATTCCAAAACTGGCCTCAAAAATAAAAATGCAGCAAACTGCTTCAAATGAAATTTAGAAATACATTTTTAGTTTTTCTTGTAAGAATCACGATGGATACTACATGATGGAAACTTAAAACGTTGTTAGACAAACGCTAGTTATTATCAATTAGCTCATTGGCTTTTCCTCCATTTTGTGTGTGCTTCCATTTCATGAATGTTATAGGGTCAAATACAAAATATAATTCATAAAATGATAGGAATGAATCCCAGAGCACTGCTGTATCTTCAAATTCCTATAACAAGAAAATCTGATGATCAACCAACTCACACTTAGTAAATCAACATGTGAAACGAATTTCTTTGAATAAATTTTCATGTCCTTTCCAGCAGTAGACAGAGGAGGATCTGAAGAAAGATCTCTTTAGAATGTTGGCAAGTATCCCTCATGCCTGGTTTCCATCAGCACGCATGCCCAGAGGTGGTCGATTTATAGGAAAGATGGTCAGCTGGAGCCTGTGGGATCACCTGAGAGCCTCTGGGCTTGGAAAGGATGGCATCTGAAAGCCATTTCAGCCCCCACATTCACCTCCCAGTTCCAGCCACGACAACAAGGGGCGCTAACTGCAAGTGAGGCTGGCAGACTTACAGGAGAACCAAGCAGATTTGGATGCCCACAGTCTTCTAAGATGGCATGGATTTTCTACAATGGCATCTTTAATTTGAATAAGCAAAATTAGTAGGAGTACACTATGTGTAAAAGTAGTGCAGATTTGTTTCATGGTGTTGAAAATTCAACAGCCACTGGAACACTATAGTGCTATAGTGAATTCTTTTTTTGTATTGTTTTGGGTTTTTTTTTTTGGTTTTTTTTTTTGGTTTTTTTTTTCCAGACAGGGTTTCTCTGTATTGTTTTGGTGGCTGTCCTGAAACTAGCTCTGTATGGACCAGACAGGCCTGGAACTCACAGAGATCCACCTGCCTCTGTTTCCCGAGTGCTGGGATTAAAGGCATGTGCCACCAACGCCCATCTCACTATAGTGAATTCTAAGACACTTCTTACGAAGTTCTCACAAGAGCCTTATAATCTTGTAAAATGTTCTCCCAAAAAGCAATAACAAAGTACTAAACTAAGCATCGAGAGCCATGGAACTATAAAGGCAACACCACATTCCATGGTTTCTACATCTACATCTGCGTCTATAGCTACACAAATACTCCTTGAATACATACATTTGAGAATGGTAGAGTCCATTTGTATTAAAGTCAGGAGCACATTGTTTGGGATTTGGTTATTGCTGTTGTTCCATTTCAGCAATGGGGACTAAACTTAGAGCCTTGGACATGGTAGATAAATGCCCATCACCAACTCCTGCCCGCCTGCGTCCATTCTTAAGCTGTTCATCAAGAATAACAATGCACTATTTAAAGGACTCACAAAAAAACACAAAGTGAGATGATTGTACAGCATTCTAGTAGCCCCTGTTTGATTTCTTATATCCAGATTGGTTTTCTACAGCAGGAAACTAACCATGAAGGCTCCCTCAACAAGCAATACTTTTGTTCTTAAACTAAGATCCAATTCTCTCACTATGGCCCTAAAAGCTTACTTTTACAATCTGGCCTCTGCCTTTCTGTTGGGCTCTACAAACCCTGCCCTCAGTCCCCCAGCTTTGTCTTAGTCACATCTCTTTTGCTTCTGGCTTTGGCCCTGCCAACCGCTCTGTCTTGGACATTTTCTGTCTATTTACCTCTCTAATCCTGCCTCCCCTTCAGGGCACAGGTAAGACTCACTTCTGGAAACCTTTCTATTTAACTGGATGCTTCTTTCTCTGACATCCTACAGCATCTTGTAGACCTATCACAGTCTGGCCTTAGCATCTGCTCATTTCTCTCCATCCCCTACTAGATTCAAATCTCCTCATGAGCAGAAATGGTTTATGGACAGGGGTATTTTATGTATATGGATGTTTTGCCCAAGTGGATGTCTATATACTGTATGCATGCCTGGTACCTACTGGGACCAGCAGAAAGTGTCAGGTCACCAGGAACTGGAGTTATAGATAGTTGTGAGCTGCCATGAGAAGATTGGAAATTGAACCTTCCTTTGGAAGAGCAACCAGTGCTCTTAACTGCTGAACCATTTTTCCAGCCCCCAGAAATACTGTTTTGATCATATTCTTAGTATCTAGTATATGAACATAGTAAGTGTTAAACAAATACTTATTAAATAATTGAAGAGGAGGCAGGAAGTCAGAAAGTGCTAACACACACATCCATGAATGACATCTGCACAAACTATTTTTCATGTCAAAGCCCCCTTCATACTACAAGTGCCTTAGGTTCTACTCACTCCACCCAGATCCCAGTTAAAGACCTGCTTACTTATCTGTAAAATATCATTCTTACATCTCTGAACTGAAAACATTTTCAAATGGAAGCACCTGACAATGCGTTAGCTGCTGCCAAAGGTCACTCACCTCCTTTGTCTCTTCGGAGAAGGCTTGCAGAATGTCAGTCTGCCTGGTGTAGTTGCCATTGGCATCCTGCAGACCTTGCAGGATGCGTTCTCGTAGAACCAGTACGGACACCCGGAGCTGGTGCCAGAGCAGCTGCACTGCGTGGATGTCTACAATGACATTGACCGAATAGGACAGCAGCTTCAGGGAGAACTCCGTCTCGAGGAGGGCATGGATCTGCTCAACATGGTCAGAAATATCTTCACAAATGTCCTGCAGCAAAGGAAAGTAAGTGTATGAGGGCAACTTAATCTTTTCCTGAGGAGGAGGGGTTGCAAAAGGTCACTCACCAAATACAAGGGCCGGCCACCACGGCATGTTTTAGACATCTGGCCTCCTTTGCTCTAATTCTATTATACAGTTGCAGACATATTCCTCTACACTGGCCCCTCTACATACGAGGAAGGTTGGTTCCTTTCACACTGCTCCTTCAGATATTCGAACCAAGGTTCAGCTGAGAGGTTAGTTCTGGCATTTTCTGTCCTCTTTGCACTCTTTGGGGTTCTAGAGAAGGGCTAGCAGCTTCTCTATCTGACGCTGGTGAGCTACACTGAGCACACAATATTTCAGAATAGACTTCTCAGTCCGATGTTTAGGGAGAGAGAAAGGCTAGAATGTGTTTCATAGGAATCCCAGGTCATTCTAAATTAGCTATGGAATTTTCAGTGTAAGAGACAATGGTCATCTCCAGAGCATGCCATGATTTAATACTCAAAGTCACAGTGAAAATCTAAACTTCCATCCCTCACTTGGCAAGCAGAATTACTCTGAGATGCAAAGATAAAAAAGAACCAAAAATGTTAAACAAAAGCATCACTAACTCAAATTTCAATCACCCTCATACACTATTACATAGGCAGATTTCATATCTGATATGATGGCTGATCATAAGTTGTCCAGTGTCCTTTGCTGTCAGAGAACAGATCCATGAAGTGAGGCCCATGAATGATCATTTATTAGTTAGTGTAAGGGGCTATTAAGAATCAAAATAACAAATACGTGGCACTGATTTTTAAAACTGGGCATCTTAGCTAAGGCAAAATTTGCAGAGAAGCGTTTGAGCTCTGAGCTTTGCTTTCGGTGTCAAAACAATCTTTCTACACAGTTCATGTATATGCATTTCAGTTGGATTTTTAAAAAGGACTTAAGCTACATTACATTGACAGATACATCTGGTTCACATTTTCCTCTCTTCATACCAACCATACCTTCATCTTAAGTAATACTCACATTCACTCTGATGAGCCCCAGACCCCCCATATTCTGGAACATCTCAGCCTCCAGCCATATTCCACTGACACATCTCTCTGCCACGGCTCTGTTCTGGGCCCTGTCATCACCGCATCTGGGTAGCAGTACCAGCAGCATACCACCAACTTCTTCCAGTTTGGTCATTCCCACTTCAGATATCACCTCCTAGGGTCCCAGCCCCTCTCCACCCCCACCCTGAGCACAGCATCTGTGGCTAACATCCCAGTCACTCTCTTGACAGTCTCTCCAACTTCTACTGCTCCTGGCTTTTATTTAACCTTGCTCTGTCTCTTTGAGCCTTCAGATACAGTCAAATATCTAGAAGAGAAAATGTCTTTGTTACCAGCCTAGACAACAAAATTACTCGTGGCTCATTGTCCTCTCAAGTCCAGCTGCTTATATATGCAAAGTTAAACAGATTCCAATGAGCACATGCTTCCCAGTGCCCTCTGCCCAGTTATATCACCTGCTGAGAGGAACACCAACCAGCTAGACCAGGCAGCATGCTGACACATCAGAGGACTTTGGTCTCATTATAATATCATTATAACCATATAAAACACATCCATCATGTTGATATCAGGCTGTGCCCTGCTCTATTACGCCAAAATGTGTAAAACAGTGTTTTGGGACTTTGTTTTGCCCTAGGTGACTCCAATTTTCAATCAACATTTGGCTCCATTTCGAGTGAAAAATGCAGGATGACTCTGCACCTTGTGCACAAAAACACTACCATCTGTTCAACATATACCACAAAGCACAGACCAACAAAGAAGATACCAACTATAACCTTACCAAACTATACTGGGACCAAAAGAATACATGGGTGCATTAAAATCATACCAGATTTAAAATAAAAAACAGACCAAGGAAGGGTGCAACATCCAGTCATCTCCACCAACCAGTCATCTGACTTCTCACTGTTTGTACGACAGATAGAGAGCTCCTGTGTACCCGGAGTTCAGTTTAGCTCAGTCCCTACTGCTGATGACCAGTTCGAATTGCCACTGTCAGCCCGCGTGCTTGTCCACTTCATAGCATGGCCTCTTTGGCATCTACGGCCCTGCACCTCACCTTTGGAACCTGACTCAATCATGAGGCAGCCTGGCTTGCCTCTGCAGTGTCATCTAAACCCATCTAAACCCTTCACACCTGCCTGTACAGTGACAGTCTTGACATCTGTCTGTCAGCTCTGCCTCTTTCCTCTGAGGAACTTGAACTCTGATGTTGCCTCTTTAACCCTTTTGTAGCCATCCTGTAACCTACATGTAGACATAATTACTATGTCATGAATAACATGTGACCAAACAGTGAGTGTGTGAAATTAAGATTGTGATAAAGGAACCTGTGTTTGCCAATGGCCGGCTATCAAAGAACAGGGAACTACTTGGCAACTTTCAGCCAATGAAGCTGGTGTAGCCAGTTTACTATTATCCAGTGAATTCTAACATATGGAAACACACAAACATGTCTCTCTAAAGCTTCTGATGCAGTGCACTCATGACATACTGGAACTGTGACAGATCTGGCCAAGTCCAAATTAGGTCAGAGAAGAGGTGGCACCCTGAGTCTTGTAACTCTTCTCCCTTCACGAAAGCACTGGTGACAACATGCATTATCAGACATCCTCACAATGCGTAATTCACTTCTGGAAAACTCTAAAGCCCACACTTGCTCCAGGGTAAGGGGTTTCAAACCACTAGCTCCCCTTTCAAACCATTGGTCAGGGAATAGTTTCCTGGCTTTCTCAATGTGCTTCGCTATTTGCCAATAACATAGAGTAGGAAAAAGAACCTCCAGACTCATTCAGCAATAGCTTCAATAATCTTTATGCCACTTTCTCAGAATAGACTAAAAGGAATTTCACACCCATCCCCAGCACCCAGCACAATAGGTTATATATAGTCATGGCACCGCATTCCAAAACCCATACCACCCATTCCTCTGACACATGATTTGACTCCTCATAGTGAATGTAGGAATATGGTCAATCAGGTGAAGGGTCAAAATTCAAAATTCCCAGGCACCTATCCAGGAGAAACTATCCTTAAAAGGGCACCATGGATCCACTGGTGCCAATCAACCATCCTCCTGCGTATGTAGACAAGGAAAAGTATGTTGGTACAGTTCCCAGAGAGACTGATGCGCTCTGAAGAAGAAGAAATCACCCTCCGCACAAGCACCCACCTCCCTCTGATGAACATTCTGGCAATGTGCATGTGCAACTCTTATTAAAACTCTAAAACAAACTAATGTATAGCATGATGCAACTTCCTAGAATCTATAAATTATGTCCTGTCTTCTTCTCTGTTACCAATTGCTTGGCCTGACCAAATGAACACTTAGACTGTAGAATAAAAGCTGTGTGTGTGTGTGTGTGTGTGTGTGTGTGTGTGTGTGTGTGTGTGCATGTGTGGGGGTGGGTTGGTTGGTGTGTGCACACTGAGCATGCATATGCATATATGTGTGTATGTGCCCACTTTCCCAAACATAGACTTTGCTTCGAACACCTGATAAAAGATTTAGACAAAAATAACTAAGTAATTTTGAACTATTTGCTTTCTAATGATAGAAAAAATATACTTTCCTCTGTTACTATACATAAATATTAAACAATTATTTACAGAATAACTAGTTCAGAGATCTAATACTTAGCTTCTTAAAAATTGCCAGTTTGCTGGGCATTTACATGAAAGAGTCTAAAGATTCTGGATAACCTGCTAATTTAACACAATCTCATCTAGGGATTAGAGACTTTAAAAAATAATTAGCTGAATGGTTGCTTCCCAGCAGGAACTGCTTGAAACTTGAAAGTTCCAGTAGATCTGACCCTGACTGGGTGGAGGCCCTGTTTTACTAGCAAGGTGAATTGGAAGCACAGGGTGGGATGCTGGGCCAGCCTAACTGATCCATGCAGGAAATGATTCTTGTCAAGACTCATCTGCACCTGTGACTTAAACAAGTTGGAAACTGCTCTCACGACGAACCCTCTTGGTAGATACACATTTGCTATCCAGAGAAAACTAAATAATAAATAAGAAAATAATTTTTAGGAAGAGAAACAATCCCTTCATTTACCTCTTTATCTATCTATGTATCATCAATATATCATCTATCGATCTATCATCTATTTATTATCTATCATCTACCAATCTATCATCTATCCATTCACCCATCCATCTTAAGAACATATATACAGAATATTTTTATTTGCCACTGAGAGTACTAATGGAAGACATAATATTTCATTCCACAAGTAGAATTTTTAAGAACTTAATATGATGATGATTGATTAAGCTGTTAAAGCAGCTAAAATTCATAGGGAATTATAGCAACCCAACAAATACTGTTTAATTTCTGTTTTGATAGAGCAAAGAGTACTGGTGGGCAGGAATCTGAATCTAGAGGGGAATAGGTCAGAGGATGGTGAAGATACTAAAGAAAACATCAGTAACAGACCAGACCTAGATCCCATTCCATCATCTGTGAAAGAGATGCAAAGTGTATCAGTCATCCTTCAGAAGGGAAGGCTAACTTGGCAACATCCTTCATGGTCATAGTCTGAAATTACCCCATGTTTCAGGCTTGCCTCTGATTCTTACTCGGATTCCTGTTGGTTTCAGTCTTTTCTCTGATGTAGACCATTTTAATCTAACTTCCAGATTCCTCTCTTATATTTCCAAGGATTTCTCACCTGGAATAATGGGACCTTGGAAGGAATGGTCACCAGGAATGATGGGGCATTGGAACGAATGGTCACCAGGAATGATAGGAATATTGAAAGATTTACCAATGAACTCAGTCTCATGAATTCAGATTCAGACATCGCCTTTAGAGCAGCTACCAACCCTTGTTAGCCATGTCTGAGAACAGAGGGGACCTTGTTATTGTAAACGCAGAAGAAAGGCAGAAAAGAAAGAACTCATCGAAGTGATCAAGGCAAGCTTCGCTAACATTTAGAC